TCACACTCACCTTTCTGTTCCTATAATTCTCCATCCCCCTTTCTGTCACAGGGCCTTGGCTCTGGCTGTTCCCCATGCCTAGAATTCTCTTCCTCTCTGTGGAGCTGACTCCCCCTTGTCACTCAGAAGACAGCTTAACCACCACCTCCTCCAAGGGACCCCTGACTGGCCCTCACACACAAGCCACCTTTAATTCTCCCCCAACACACATTACTACCTGCAGATTTTGCTCCTTCTTTATGTATTTATGTATTTATTTACAGCCTTGTCCTTTTCTAGTTGCATGCAAATCGTGAGCCCTGTGAGTGCAGGGACTGTGCCTGATTGTTTAAGGCTGTGTTCTTGATTCTCAGACCAGTCTGGCACATGGGAGGTGCTCACAACTATTTACACAGTGGATGGATAAATGAACAAATGAATGATCATCTCCCAAAGACCTCAATAGGCCAGTTCCTGTGAATAAGATGAGTAAGAGTCCATCCTCTGGCAGCCCATAGGACAGTGAGCAGGAACTGAGTGGGAATGGGAATCACAGTGAGAAGGACTCGGCACAGCTGCCTTCAGTCCTCAGGGCCATGGAAGTGGAGAGACTCACTCTGCAGGATGGGAGGAGTGGGTCAGAGGCCAAGGAGAACACGCAGCAATGAGAGAGCTCTGAAGGATGAATAGAGGATGGCTAGGCAAAGAAGGGAGGGAAATATTCCAGACAGGGAGATCAGCATGGGAAAAGGCTTACAGGTAGGATAACTCAGCATGGATTTGGAGAAAAGGTAAATAACTGTATCAGACTCTCTAAAAACACATTTGTTACTCAGCACATATTTATTAGCCACTTACTAGGGCCAAGAAATGTGATGAATGCCACAGAGCAAATAGGTACATGGCTCTTGTATCAGCTATCAATGCCATATAACAAACATGCCAAGAGTGCAATGGCTCCAAACAACAGCTATTTGGATGTCCCACTGGGCTGTGGGCAGTGGCTGATCTGGGACAGGTTTGTCTGACCTGGACTGGCCTCAGAGCTAGGGCTGAGATGACTTTGCTCTTTCATGCTGTCCTTCACACTTGAGCAGAGAAGGGGGAGAGAAATGAAGTCTGCTGGCCTTTTGCAGCCTAGGGGAGCTTACACACTGTCACTTCCAGTGCATCTTGGTGGCCAGTGCAAGTCACAGGGCAAGTCCAGATGCAAGGGATGGAGACACTGATTCCCCTTCATGATGAGAGAACCTGAAATGGTTCACGCTGCATAGTGTGTGGATACAGGGAAGGAAGAGGAATTAAAGCTGTTTTTGCAATCTACAACAGCCTTCCTTTCTGATCTTGATGTTCTACAATCTTGGTTTCCTATGCACCATTCATGCCCTCATTTAAGCCCCAACGCCTCCTTACAGCAATTTTTCTTTTAAACATACAAGAAATAAGTGATTCATTCATTTAACAGATTGGTGTACTCACATTTTGTCAGTTGATAGCAGTACTGAAATATATGGCTTCCAATGGCCAAAAACACTCAGATATGCATTGCTGTATGGACATCCAGGGCAGACCAGCGAGAATGACCACATAGCACACCTGCCTTCTCAGCCAACTTCCTTCTTCCCCAAAGCCCTGCTTACATGAGCCAGCTGCTCTCTCTGCTGTCTGCAGCAATTCTATATAAGCCTCTATCACACAATGCTTTTATCTATTTTTTGGAAACAATTTTTAAAAAACAGATTTGTTTCCTCTCCTTGCCTTAATAGCAGAAAATGCATGGAGGCATGAAATTGGAGTTGCTTTGCTCTATTAACAGCATGGTCATTGGGCTCTGCTGACCCCTAAAGTGCATTAATACCTCAGCAGCGAGTGGATGAACCATGTAAAGTGGCAGGGGACACACCTGGTGAAGGCCAGCTGGGAGGCCTGAGGGCCACCATGGGTGGGGTGGCCTTCTACTTTGGGCTCTGAATTGGAGAATTTTCAGCCTGGGATTGGAGGAGGAGGTGACAGAGGCATAACAGAGGGCTCAGGCTGAGAGGGGAGAGGGATCCCATCTATTCAGCCACTTGCTCCTTCTTTCATTCAACCCAGACCAGGCTGGGCAGTCTCTGCCCTCCATAGCCCCAACATCAGGAGAGACAGACTTGGGTGAAGGATCTGCAATTCCGGGACCTAGGTTTTGGAATGAAGTACAAAAGGATACAAGAGAAGCTCTGCAGAGGTGAGGGGCCCAGAGGCCTCCAAGGAGTAAGGACCTTACAGCCAGGCCTTGACAGGTGCAAAGTGGCATCCTGCTCAGCTCTGCCCAGCACAGTGCCCTATTTGGTTCAGGTGCTTGGCTGTGTCTTTGGTGCCAGGCCACATGCTGCAGGTCACTGGCATGGGGAAGGCCCTGGGTTCTGGCCCATGTGTGTCGTCGCCTGAGGCACACACAGGCAGGGGCTGCCGGGCCTGGCCATGACCCCAGAAGCTCCATCTCCACTGTGCCTCTTCCCCTATGAATCCTTTTCCCACTCACCACCTACAGATCCTCCGATGGGGCCCTGGCATGCAGAGGGCCCTTGGGCTGGCCAGCTTCCTCCAGGCTGCTGTGCCCTAGGAGCCCTGATCCCTGTGGGCTTCGTGTGTGCCCAGTGACCAGGTGGGAAGCCCTGCCTTGCTGGTAGAAGTGGGAGAGGCAGGGAGAGAAGAGTGAAGAGAGTGGGCAGGGCAGGAGAGAAGGGAGGACCTGAGGAGGCTGGGGAATGGGGAAGGCGAGGAGGAAGCTGCCCGGGGCTGTGGATCAGGGGTGGGGAGAGGAAGGCTTCTCAGAGGGCCTTGGAGATGGAGGGTGGAGGAGCAGGGGAGGGGGTTCGCTGGCAGAGGGCTTCTGAGAGAGAAGTCCTGTCTTTGGCCCTAGGGAGACAGAAAGGGGCAAAGGTCAGCACTGAAGGAGGTGAGAGGAAGTTGGAGATGCCCGGAGTGGGTAGAAATGAGGACACAGACCGACAGACAGAGAAAGAGGGTCCGGCCTTGAGTTGTGGGGAGGTGGCGTTGCAGCCAGACAGGAGCAGGGGAGTTTTCCAAAAAGCACTTAAGCTGTTATGTCAGTGATTACGCCCCTGGCCTCCTCTGGGACAGACGACAGCCCTGAGTGATGGGTGGAAGGAAATAGATGTGCAAAATACATGCATTTTTTTCAAATGGCCCAATCACAGACGACAGACCTACATGGCAGCATGCACAGCCAGATGGTCCTGAAGCTCCCAATGTCCCTGCAGCTGCTGGCTCCCTGAGGCCACAGCCCTGGGGTCTCAGGTCTCACAGTCCCCACCCCAGGCTCCCGTACCTCACTCCCCTCAGCGCTTGGGCCCAGAGTCCCGAGAGGCACAAGCAAAGGGCACCTGGAGAAGTCTTTTGATGCTGTCCTTCCCTCTGGTTCTCAGGCTGGCCCTCTCCAGGGACCTTCTTCCCCTGACCTCAGGAAAGGTCCTCCCTGAAGTCCAGACCCCAGGCTGCGACTTTCTACACTCAGAGAGCGTGCCCAAGCCATTACCCATGCAGACCCCGCCACCCCAGCCTGCATCTGCCGTTACCATGTCACCATCAGCTGTGCTGCTCACTGTCTCTATGACTTCCACTCTCACCTTCTCTGTGCCTCTATTTCCTCTTCTGTAAAAAGGGAAAGTCATGGCGCTCACCTCAGAGGATCCCATCAGTGAAGATAGGGAAAGCTCTTCCTGTTGTCGCTGTGCCATAGGGAGTCACCAATGGCTTTGGAGCAGGGGCGGGAGCATCAGAACCACAGAAGACTCTTGGGAACAGAGCAGAGTAATCCTGCAGGGGGAGAGGTCTAGATCCCCGTAGGAGCAGCCTCGGACCAGCAGGATGACCAACCCTGGAGCCTGGTAGAAATGCAGGGTCTCAAGCCTCTCTGGACCTGTACAGCTGGTGTCTGTGTTTTGTGAACATCCCAGGTCCTTTGTATGTCCCCAATGCTTGAGGAGGCTGCTCATGGCACAGGGAGGTAGGTGGGGAAAGTTAGGGCATCCGGGACGGGGGGTCTGTGAAACTCCAGGATGGAGCGCATCATGCTGGGTCCTCGTTTTCCAAATAAGAGGCACAGCTCAGAGAGACTGAGGCACCTGAGTGGCAGGCAGGGCTGGTTCCAGAAAGCTGGGCAGCTATTGGGCTGGTTCAAGCAGCCCCCACCCCTGGAACGAGGCTGTGTGACACGAGAGAGGGTGGCAGTCCTTGGCCTGCACAGAGAAGTGATTGCAGGGCCCAGGACAGTGCAGGGGACAATGGTGGCAATTAGCCTGACACTGGACAAGCCAAGCCTGGGGGGCAGCAGAGACACCCATGCCAGCAACCAGCAGGTCTGGAACTCAGGAGAGACAATTTGAGATCAACTGCTTGGAAAAGAAGTAGCATTCATTAGGCACTAGTTACCAGCTGTAAGAACTAATGCTCCCTGTATCAGATGAGTGGGCAGAGGCTCAGGGAGGTGGATCATGGCCCTGAGACCACACAGCTTATAGTGGCAGCTCCTTGATCAAAGCCTCCAGCTGTCTGGATAGGGGTCACGCTTCATCCACTGTGCCAAACACAGATAATCTGATGCTTGAAGTGCCTGAGGATCTTGGTTTGGGTTCCCCCAAAAGCAGATTGTATTAGTCAGCTTTCCTGTCACTGAGATACAATACCCAACACCCACAACTTAAAGGGGAGAGGTTTAATTTGGCTCATTGTTTGGGGGAATTCAGTCCATGGTCACCTGGCTCCAAGGCAGAAACATCAAGGCGGAAGGGCATGGCAGAGCAAAGATGCTTAGTCCATGGCAGCTGGGAAGCAGAGCAGGGGACAGTGCCAGAGAGGAAGGGGCCAAGTACTCTACATAGCACTCAAGGCCACGCCTCCATGACCCACCCAGACACACCCACCAGTGTGCTTTTAAACCCCCAGCAACTTCCAAGCCAATCAATTTGTCACAATTAAGTATAATCATCACATGGACCCTGAGACAAGGATTTGGGTGCAAATGGTTTATTTGGGATAAGATTCAGGAAGTACAACAGGACAGGTCAAGGAGCAGGAAGGAGGAGGAGCCCCTATGGCATATATTAACCAGTGAGTCACCAGCCTGGACAACTGGGGCTTTGTCTCAATGGGGCCCTGGGATCCTGAATCACACACACTTCATGTTGTGCCACCATCAGCAAGCAGCCAGAGTAGCTCACCCCTATGGTGGATCCTTAAGGCCACACAGCTGGGCAGCCACTGGGGCCTGAACAGAGTCCCTGCAGCCAGAGAAATTGCCAGTACATAGGAGAGCTCATAAACTCACACACTGCAGGTGACCCTGAAGGGCTCTGAGAGTGGGATGGGACAAGGACATCATCTGCTAGACTGAAACTTGGCTTCTCCAACCCCCATGGCCTCCTCTGTGACCTTGCAGAGGGGGAGAGGGTAGAGGGACAGGGCTGCCACTACCCAGTGGCCAGCACTAGGGTCTGGCTGTCTGTGTCCTGCCCAGTTTGTATGTTGAAATGCTAAACCCCAAGGTGATGGCGTTAGAAAGTGGGACCCTGGGAGGTGATTACATGGGCTCTGGGAGGTGACACCTCATGCATGGGATTGGTGGCCTTCTGCAAGGCTCCAGGGGTCCCTGCTGTGGGGAACACAGAGAAGACAGCTGCTGGGGAAGCCAGCCCCCAAGATGGTGGGATCTGCTGTGCCTTGGTCAGGGCATGCGGCCTCCAGTCCATGGGAAACAGATGTCGGGGCTTTAGGCCACCCCTCACTTAGGGGTTTTATTTCTTTTTTAAGGTGAGAACTGCAAGAAGGGGGTGACTAGGGAGAATATCACATCAGCCCTGTGCTCAAATCCTACTCAAACCCGGACCCTGACCCCGTCTCTGAACTCAGCTTTCCCAACTGTAAAATGGGGATAGCGACACAACTCACAGACTGTGACAAGTTAAACATCAACATCTCCAGTCTGGGCAATTTAGCAACTTAACAAGACCGTGTTGCAAAGGGGCTGGGGGATAATGAGGCTGGGGATGTAACTTTGCAAAGGGCCTGGGTTCGATCCCCAGTACCATCACCACCATCCAAAACAAAAAAGAATTTACGTAAGTACCAGAATTTATTTAGGGATTTACCATTCCATATGCCAGGCACCGTGCTAAGGACTTGGCATGTGTCATCTGTTTTGATCTTCACAACACCCTTTCAGAAGCATTATCTCCACTTTACAAATAAGTAAACATAAGCTCAGAGAGGTTGAATAAGTTTCCCACGGTCACACAGCAAGTGAGTCCCTGAGCTGGTATCTGTACCTAAGCTTGATGCACCAGGATGGAGGCCAGCCTGGGTCAAGAGTGCTGACCTGCCTCCCTGGGAGACACACAACAATAAGCCTGCAGGGTCACTTCCAAATTCAGGAAGAAGCCAACTCCATTAGTCCTTCCGAGTTCAGCTCTAGGATTACACTCACCAGTCTTTCACAGAGAGGCCAGTACTTTGGCCAGTGTGGCACCCCAGGGACAGGCCTCTTAGGGGGGCTGAGGACTGAGCCTATAGGCTCCTGCTGCTGCCACTATGTGGGCTGGGATCACCTCAAAGACAGCTGCCTGAGCTCCTCTCCCGTATACCACTGGGCCCTGGCATTCTGGGCACCCTTCTACGGGGGCTGGGGGCTCAGTCTGGGGCTCCTGGGGGAGGCCCTGAAGGACACAAGTTTTCAGGAACAACTTTGCTCCCTGTGAGCCTGATTCTTCCTTGTTCTTTTTTTCTCAATTTCCCCTAAAATAGATATGTGTGTGAGTGTGTCTGTGTGTGTGTGAGTGTGTGTGCATTGAGGTTATTCCTAGGGGACTATTAACTAAGAATAATTTATCCAAGAAATTTGTTATGTTAGAATTACCAATTAGATATGATTATAACTTACCATGGCTAACACTGCACTGCTGTCGGAAATCTGAATCCCATTAAAATCTAATTAGCATATATTAAGTCGAAGGCGGTTTTACTGCAGTGCGCCAGCAGGTCTGAGCTGCACCAGGCCAAGCACAAGCATTCGCTGCCAGCTTTGGGGTCCAGCTATGTTGCCCACCACGCCCAGGTGGGTGCCAGGCAGCCCCAAGGTCCCCTTTCTCTTCAGCTGGGACCAGATGGTCAGTCCCCGTGGAGGGAACTTGGCATTGGAGGCTCTGTCTTTGGGAAGTGGCCAGGACCCACACCAGGCTTTGACATGTGGCCAACCCAGACCATGTGCTCTGGGGTCGGCGTCCTGGGCCAAGAGGGTGGGAGGGGTTTGGCCACCCCGGCAACCAGCCAGCTTAGAGGCTGAGTGGTGGTGACCCAGAATGTACCCTCCCCTGGGCTTAGAGCACAGCAGGCCATGGCATGAGGACAAAACCACCATGTCCCCAGGCCTAGTAATGCCCTGGCACAGTGACAGCAAATACGCATGCCGTGAGCTCTTAGGATGAGGTAAGGTCATGCTTTCACCTTCTTCCTTGTCCTCACTAGAACTCCAAGAGAAAAGTGCTGGTCATGCACCCATGTGACACAGTAAACTTGAGACTTAAAGAGGCAAGAGTTTGCTCAAGGTGGCACAGCTGCTAAGGGGCAGAGGCAGCACTTGACTCCAGGTGGGTTTTATTTTTGTTCGTTGTTAAGTCTCCTAACCACTGGTTGCAGGAATGAATGAGGTCTACCTGTTGTCCAGGCGAGGCCTTGCCAAGCCACCCTTGGCCAGCAGGGGGAGGCAATGAGAACCAGGGAGCCCTGGCCAGGTGGCTGTGTTCCTGGCTGGCTGCTGCAAGATGGCTAGGGGACATTCAAGGTGAGGATAAGGTCCCCGAGACCAGGCTGCAGAGAGTCCCCTACTTAGGGAAAAAGTCCTTCCTCTGAGCGTGATTGATTGGATTACTGTACTGCCTCCCCACCATCCTGTAAGTGAAGGGTAATTGTCCCCAAGATGGTGCATGACCCCCATATCCCTGCTGATGGTGGGCATGGCTCCGTGAGCTGCTGTGGCCCATGCAAAGCCAATGCCTCTGCCACTGCCCCACACCCAGCAGGGACCAGCCCTCAACTTGCAGCTCCACTGGGCACAGGTCCATGATGCCCTGTGGGCCATGAGGGAGAAATGAATGCTCACTGGTGCCAGTCACTGAGCTTAGGGCAGTTTCCATGCAGCACAGCCCAGTGACAGACCAGGGGACAGCCCTGTGTGAGGAGGAGAGACAAGCTATTCCATCTGGTGAGGTGTGGAAGAGGGGACAAAGCTGCCCCTGGCCACCCCTGCCATTCCCCTCTCATCCCCAGACTCCGCTCTGTTGCAGCCATGCTTCCTCTCAGCCTCTGCTCTGGCTCCTCCGCCACCACTGCGTGGCCCACAGAGCACACCGGCAAACTCAGCAGAGACCCGCCACCCTCGTGGTCTCGTCACCTCCTAGATTTCAACTCCACCCAGTATGGGTGCTCCCTCCCTTCTCTAGCTGCCAACAAAGGATGAAGGTCAGGAAGGTGTCCCAATAGCTCCCCTGGTCTGCTGTGACCACCAGGCTCACTCAGCTGCCAGGGTGGCACAATTGTGTCCTCAGGGGCCACCCTGCTCCAGTTCTGCAGGAGGGAGGGAAGCCCAGGGAATTCGGAGAACTGATTGAGCTACTGTGACCCTGAGCACTATTCCCAAACCCCTGAGGCAAGGGGTGGGACCGGGGTGGGTCAGGCCTGAGCAAGGGCAGGTATGTGGAGGAGACAGAGGAGGAAGTCCTGTGGGGAACAGGTAGAATGAGAGCTGCCCAGCGACCCTCCCTCTAGGGTAACCAGGGTGGCTCTGCCCCCCAGGAGGCCCAGGGAACATCCCAGCAGCTCCCCCGGCCCCAGCCTCTGTGCTGAGCGGAAACTCTGGGTGAAACAGCTGTTTACACTGCACCAGGCTGTTTGACAAGGCCTGAGGGCAGATGAGAGGGCCCAGTGTCCCTGGCATATACAGCGGAGTGATGTGGGGCCACGGATACAACACACAGGGACTCATTTGTATGGCTGTGATGAGAAAGTACCAGTGACTGGAGACTTGAAGAGTGGAGATTTGTGTCACACATACAGCCACTCACAGGGGCTTAGCCCCCCAGCTATGAATGGTTTCCACCTTTAAACCCGCATGTGGCACTCTTTCCGGGATGTCCCTCTGATGCTGAGGCATTCATCGCGAGGAAGCCGCCTTTTCTGGGTCCCCTCCTGTCTCCCCTCCTGACCTCTCCCCCTCCACTCCTTCCTGAGAGGGTCCCATTCCTAGGTCCTGAGAGTTAGGACATCAACATGTGACTCCGGAACAAGCTCAGCTCCTCCCAGTGCTCTGCAAACAGAAAGACCCCAAGGACGGCTCCGCTGGCTCTGCAGAGGAGGGCTCTGCCTGTCCAGCAGAGGGAAGGAACAAGCAGCTGTAACCATGATGCACTCCACAGGGCAGAAAGGGGCTGGGGCAGAGGACTGGTGTGTGACCCCACGAAGACAGAACAGTCCCCTGGGAGGGGACACCAGGGGGCGCTTTGGGTTCCCAGTGATTGTCTCAGTGTGGGTGCTGGTGACAGGGCTGCGTCTAGTTTAAGAAACTCACCGAACCGCACAGGGATGCCACAGGCGCCTTTTAGCTTAGTTGTTAATATCGTACCAACATCCACCCGCAGGCTCTGCCTTGTGTACTACGGTAACTTTATCTCCAGCCTCTGGTGCCCTGGGCTGGAGTGAGACCCCCAGGGCCCTGCACCACCCCTCCCACAACCACAGCTGCTGGCATGATTTTCTAGGGCATGCTGGTCCCACTCCCAAAGCGCCCTCGCTGGGACTGACCAACCAACCATTATTAGCACCATTATTAGCACCATTAATTGCAGTGCTGAGTACACTGCACTCCCAGGCTCCCCCCGGGCCCCAGAGCACTTCCCATGTGGGACCTGCTTCCCCCCAACACGTATGTACACACTCAGCACCAAAGTCCCCAAGACATCTGGCACTTGGACAAAATTAACTCATTTATCCAACCAACCCACAGAGAGGACTCCTGCTCATTGCTGTGGGCCCTAAAATTAACCTGCTTCTTCATGTCCTCAGAATTTTGGCTCCAGCAGCACTTTCAGGGCTTTTCTGGCATCGGGGAATAAAGGAACAGCTGGAGGGATGGCAGCTGATGGCAGGGTTTCCAGCCCCAAAGATTTTCTTCTAAGGTGGATGGAGTCCGGGGGCCGCGATGGGAAGCCAGGGTAACAGGTCTGGTGGCTATAACCGAGGTCAGCAGCTCGTCTGAGTCCCTGCAGCCTGACGACCCCGAGGAGATGTTCATGGGATGTTCTCTGAGAAATGCTGGCCAAAGATCTTCAGCACAGAGGTGTCTTAGGAGTGGTTCTGGAACAAGATGGAACAGGAATCCAGAGTGGTGGGACAGTCAGCAGCAGAATTACTCTTTCCACTTTGCAGAGAGGGGAAGGGGTTTCTGGGTTGGCACGCAGTGCTGTGACAGAGCCAGCCCTGAATCTCCAAGTTTCCCATCCTCTACCCAGGGCTGAGGTCAGGCAGGCGGAAATCTGCACATTGAGGGTTTTGGGGGCTTCATGGTGGGGCAGATGCAGCGTCCATACTGGGTCCAACCGTGGAATGGAGCAGCAGCAGAGACATACAGTTGGGAGACCTGCCTGTGTCGTGTACAATGCTCATTCAAAACCAGTCACTGTCTTCCCACTTTAACAATCATTCTCTCCATCTCAGACAAGAGAGGTCATTTTAAACCCAGACACAGGACTCATCCAGGTCACAGCTTCTGCTGAAGCAGAGCAGGGTGTCCCTCGGGCCTGACCTTGGCCAGCTGTCCCAGGAGGGCAGCATCAGGGTCTTGCTCAGCTCCATGATCCTCACTCCCACCCCCAGTGGCCAAGCTGTCCAGGGGAAGCCTGGGCTCTGGGTACAGATGGCCCCAGGGAGAGGCTATTTGGGGTTCCACCTTATTGATGCAAACTGGGGATTGGGGTCCAGCGTGATGGAGTCACATGCCACAAGTCACCCGGTACCAGAGACAGAGCTGACTGGCCTCAGCTTCACCCACCAGACCACCACCTCTCAAGCACACAGGATCCCCTCAGGAAGAAGGGCGAGGTGCAGAGAGACTCGGTGGGGCAGGGTGCGTCCTGCTACATTCTGCTTGCAAGGCAGGCCTTGGCTGGCGTCTGGGGACACAGATTTCTGGAGGCGAGAGTGACTCACAGCACCCACACTGCTGGTACAGCAATGTGGCGGCTGCTGAACACCTGTTCTACCTCTGGGAACTTGGAACCTGGAGACACGCCAGGCAGCAGTGCCTGCAGACTGGCTCCTGGGGGCTGAGTCTGGGTGGTGACACTTCATACACCTTCTCACTCCTCCTTGCTGGAGGGGGTGAGCCACCCTGTGTGCCCACGAGAAGACTCCGGGAGCTTATGCCTTGTTCACCCTCATGCCTTTCCCTGTGGCTGCTCCTACCCTATGCCATTTCTCTGTAATAAATTCAGCCATGGGTACCACACTGAGTGCTGGGATGGCTCCTATTGAATCTTTAAGGCTGGGGTTCGGCGTGTGTGTGTGTGTGTGTGTGTGTGTGTGTGTGTGTGTGTGTGTGTTGCTAGGTATTGAACCCACAGCCTTTGCAAATCCCTAGGCCTTTTCTTAAATTTTTTAAAAAATATTTTGAGACAGGTTCTCAATAAGTTACAAAGTTGCCCAAGCTGGACTGGAACTATGACCCTCCTGTCTCAGCTTCCCAGAGTGCTGACTACAGGCATGGGCCACCCTGATAGCTCTGGGGTTGGTCTGAGGGCCTTTAACACAGGGAGATGACAGTGCAGACTCTGGGTCAGCCACTGCTATGGTCTGAATGTCCCCTCCACTCATACACTGAAACACAATCAGCATGTGAGAGTCTTAGAGGGAAGTATATTTGGGAGGTGCTGAGGGTTATACTGAACCCTTGACTTAAGGACTCAATTCATTCCCAGGGGCTGGTTGTAACTCAAGTTGGTCAATTGAAGCTTCAGTTGTAACCCAAGTTGTTTGTATGTCAAGGCAGTCATAACTCAAGGGTCCACTGTAGTGTTCAAGGGTCCAGGAAGCCAGTCAGCCCTTCTATGCAAGAAGCCACCACCTATGAGCAGCCCTCAAAGGCAGCATCTTGGTCTTGAACTTTGGGGCCCCCAGAACTGTAAGCCGTAAGTTGTGTTGTTTAAACCAGGCATGGTGGAGCATTCCTACAATCCCTGCAGTCTGGGAGACCAAGGCAGGAGGATCGAAAGTTTGAGCCCAGCCTGGGCATCTTAGCAACTTAGTGAGACCTTGTCTCAAAAGCATATAAAAGGGCTGGTGACAAGGCTCAGTCCAAAGGCCCTGGGTTCAATCCCCAGGACCAAAAAGAAGCAAGAAATTGTGCTGTTTATAAGCCACACATTTATGGTATATTTGTTACAGCAGCCTGAAGGTGCTACAACACCAGCCCCACAAATTCTGACCTGGGGAGAGGCCAGGAATCTGCGCACATGTTCACACACTGGGGGCAGAGAGCGGAGCTCTGTGGGCCTCCCTTTGGAAAGCACTTCTAGCTGTCTCCAGGGTGGGCATTTCAAAAGGGACAGGTTCTCTGGGGTGTCCCCTCCTCGGAGAACTTCCTGCAGCCAACAAGGAAGAGCAAGGGGGTAGGGGAGCGGGTACTTTGGAAGGGTCTCTGAAGCGCATGTCCCCAACGTTCCACCCTGCCCTTCCTCCAAACAAGCGCCTGGAGCCCAGCCTGAAGCTGCTACACTGCAGCCTTCACATCCGTGTCCTCCTCTACTTTGTCTGGCTGTCCCCAGTCAGTCCCAGAAGCTGCCTGATGAGGAGGCTGGCGGGGGGGGGGGGTTAATTGGCTGCCAAGGAAACAAGGAGGGGAGTCTGAGCCAGTTCTGCTGTCTCCAGGCTGCCCACACCCAGCAGGCAGCAGGTGCCATGGGGGGCTGGGGAGCCAGGGCCAGGGGAGCTTGCATGGACCCTGAGCCCAAAGGTCAGCTGTGGTCAAGTGCACAACATTCCCAAGGTGCTGGAGCAGCCAACCCAGTGATACCTCTCCAGAGGCCAGGACATCAGCAGCTGCCGCCTCCCCACTGGGCAGCCGTCTGGCCCTGCACCCGCCAGTCTCCCCTGTTCTCCAGCACCACAACCTCTACCTCAGCACAGTTTGGGGTGGTGACACCACCACCAGCACTGACACCAGCCCCCCACCTTTCTCAGGGCCAAAATGATTGATTGAGAATTTGCTGGATGTTCCTTGAGCACTTACTATGTGCCAGGCTCTGCTCCAGGCTCTGTGGACGCTGCAGCAGTGAGCACAACAGACAAAGCTCCCCATGCTGGGAACCTGACCCTTGGCTGGGAGGCAGGTGATAAGCAAAGGAAAGCACGCAAAATACAGGTTAGAAGATGTGTGCTAAGGAGAAAGACAGAGCCAAGAAGGGAGCAGGAATCAAACACAGAAAGGCAGAGCCCCAGCCTGGCTCTCCAGGTGGAGGCTACAGCAGGAGGGAAGTTAAGCCAGCGCCTGCAAGGGTGCTCAGCAGACAGAGAAGGATGATGGCTCCTGATCCCCTAGGCCCTGCACCTGTCCCTTGACTAGGAGAGCCCGGGACCTCCACCCAGAGGTCACTGACCTAACAGAGGCAAGCACTGCCCATGGTCAGTGGCCTCAGCCCCTTGACTTTCAAGCAGCTTTGCGGTTACGTGGATTTGATCGAATTCCGCTAGCGCCTGCAGTGTGGACAGCTCCTCCTGCAGAGCACGTGGGTGCTGTGGGGAGATGCCCCGCTCGCCTTTCCACCACACACTGCACCACCCACGCCGGCCCAGCAGAGAGACAATGAGTGGAGCCCAGATTCCCTGCCTGCCGGTGACCCTGGGGAGGGGGTCCCCTGCCACCCCTCAGCCTGGTCAGGCTGGCATGGAATCATCGCCTGCTTCGTCCCAGATGGCAGAGGCAAGGCCGGAATCAAGGCTCTGACCCTGCCTAGGTGTCCCTGCTGCCACCCATGGACCCTGCCAGGGGTGTCTTGGGGCCAAAGTTACCCAGCCCAAAGGCTTGAGAACACACCTTGCTCTGGAGCCTCCACCACCCAGGTGTTGGTTCATCAGCTGTGTCTGCGACTGTGACAGGTGACTCACCATCACTGGGCCTGTCATCCCCATCTCATAGATGAGAAGACTAACAGGCATCACACTGGGAGGATGAAATGAAGTCATGAATGGATGCGCTTAACGATAAGACAGGCGGGATGTGCTCTCTTGTAGGATTCCTTTCTATGATGAGGACCAGGCTCCTCCAGACTCAGGCCTGGCAGAAGGGTTTTCCGAGGCCTCCCCTCTTGTGCAGTGACTACTGCAATCACTGGACACACCTTACTGGCTGTCTACTCTGAGGGTGAGTGCTGTGGGGCTGCAGAAAAAGCATGATTCTCCCAGTGGGTCTCAGGACCCACAGTCCCATTGCAGATCCGGCACAAGGTACACAGTCACCAACCAATGGTGCCTGGCTTGGGATGCTGACCAGGAGCTGGGGGAGGCTGGAGGGGAGCGGGGGGCTTTGGGGCCAACATAGGAAGGGCAAGGGGTCTTCCCTATTTGTAGGAATCATCAGGTTCCCACAAAAGGGCTTAGCCAGAACCACAGACGCGTGGTGTCTGCCCCAAGCGACGACTCTGATTTGGTGGCCCAGAAGAAGGACCCAAAACCCACCTGGCAGGGAGCTCTTTGGGTGACTTTGATACAGGAGCCTCTGCCCCTGTGCTCCAGGGACCCATATCTGGGCCCCTCACCTTATCTTTCCAGGCCTTTACTGTGGTGGTGCCCACCCCAGGGCCTCCTGATCTGCCTGACTACAACCCCAGCACCTATCAGGACCAGCCCAGGCCAAGGGTGAGATGACATTGTCCCTCCCCACCATCCCAGGCTCCACCCTGAACACAGCTGCGTTCTTCATGGACGCAAAATCACAGCATCCAACAGACCTGAGACTGGGCCCTGGCCTTCTACTCCCTTACTGGTGGCTTTGGGCAAGAGTCAACCTCTCTGAGTGTCAGTATCTTCAGTGGTGAGATGGGCATAAATCTTCCCCAGCATGACTGAAGATGGCAGATGGTGACATGTGCAAAGTACACAGCCAATGTCTAAAGAGTGATGGTTAATTTATCAGGAACAGCAGAAATTCCAGTAGTAACAGTGATCTCTGCCTGCCTGCATTGCTCCCACTAGCCTGGAGAGCCTCAGGGGCCTGCACTGTGTCTCCTTGCTACTCTGAGATTCTAAGTAAAAGTAGGTGCCAGCTGGGCATGGTGGCACAGGCTATAATCCCAGGTCTTGGGAGTCGGAGAAAGGAGTATCATGAGTTCAAGGCCAGAGTAGACTATAGAGACAGACCCAATCTTGGGAAAAACTAAGTGCTTAGTGAATGAATGAATGAGCAAATGCGTTCAAGTTAGGGAGGTCAGGGAAGGCTTCTGAGAGAACTTAGTCTCCTCTTGATCCTGAGGCTGGAACCTTGTCTCCCAGGCACCAAGTCAGGCACAGAGCAAGGGCACCACAAGTACTGGTCCGAGGATGAAGAAATGAATGAGTGAATGATGCTTGAACAGTTCTGGGAGCTCGAAGAGTTATGGGTTGGGGGCTTGGAGGATCAGGGAGGTGTACAGTTGGCTCTGGCCTCAGTCATGCTGTGTAACAAACATCCCCTAACCCCAGGGATACATCCAGAAGCATCTGTGCAGCTCCCTCCCTGCAGGTGGGTGGGTGGGGGCTCTGTGGGGGGCCAGCACCACCACACAAGGCCTCTGCAGGCCAAGCTCACTTCCTCCTCATTCTGCTGGACAAAGCAAGTCACGTGGCTGAGCTCCAGGCCAGGGGTGAGAACTGTCCTCCGTCTGTTAGTGGGGAGACATAAAGTCACAGGCAAAGGGCACAGATGGGGGAGGGCTGAACATGGGGCCACGCAGCAGCCCCCTCAGAAAGAACAAGACCGAAAGGGCTACTGGACCGTTAGGGCATTGGAAGGCCCTAGGGAGGAGCTATATGGCCGTTCATGTTCCTGGGATGCCTACAGCCTCATTCACTCATTCATTCATTCATTCGCTCATTCATACAATGATCACCACTCAAGGTGGACTTGCCCTGTGCCAGGGCTTTACTTTCAGTGCATGGGAACCAAGGTCCCAACCCTCCTTCAGGATCAAAAGGAGCCTTTGCTTCTTTTTCTGGATCCTTCACCCACTTTTTCTGTGTCCTTGGGAAAAATCACCTCCCTTCTTGGGGCATGGCAGCCACTGCTAATAATACCTTACATTTGTAGAACACTTTTAACTTTATCAAATGTCCTCACATTTGTTCTCTGTGAAGCATCGGAGACCTGTTTTGTTACCTTGCTGATTTGACAAGTAGAACTCTAATGGATGTGAAATGCACTGAGCTCCTTGGAAGTGCTCTCCAGAGAGGGCTTGGTGGGGCCGACCCCTTCTAACAAACCCTAGGATTCTCTCTACAACAAAGCGCCTCCCTGGATATCGGCCGGTAACTGTCATTTCAAATGATGTTTAGGGCAATGCAATCCCTGTGTGACCCAAAGACTGGGATGGCTTCCTTTCTCTTTCCTTTTATTTAAAAAAAAAAAGCCACCACTCTGAACATTTCAAAGATTCCCATAGAACTTTTCCAATTTAATTTTTAAAAAAAGAGAGAAAGAAAGATTGCTTCCTCCTAACTGGCTTCACAAAGGAAAACGGGCTGTGCACCAGGCCTCGGAGAGCAGCCTCATCGCTCGGCCTCCTCGTCTAACAGCCAGGCACTCCGCAGCTTCAGAAAAGCATTTGCTAAGGAGAAAGAGAGACAGAGCCATCCTTTCTCTCGGCCCATAGCCTCTCCCAGGGTGGAGTCTAATGCAAGCTTCTTTCGGTGCAGACCTACTATGTGCTGCAGACTTTCAGTACTGCCTCTCCTAATACAGACCCTGCAGGGATAGACCCTGTTTTATATGTGAGTAAAGTGAGAGTTAGCACCACAGAAAGTCTCACAGCTAGTACACAGCTGAGTAGGATTCGAACTTGCAACAATCAGAAACCAAAGGCTGTGTTCTCTGCCCTTCCTCACACCAGCTCTGTGCAATGGAGAGGCTTAAATACTGTAGAACTGGGTAGAAAGAAAGGAGGAAGTGGAGAGAGGAGACAGGAAGAGAAGAGGGAAGGAAAATAATATTAATGATGTGACTACCATAAGGCCAGCACCATGAAAAGCAGATCACCCAGTGCAATATGGCATAACAGAAGTAACTACAAAGTGCCTAGGACCCAGAAGAGGGCCAGCAATGGCTAGTGGGGTGCTGGGAAGGGGTCTCCATGAAACATTAGGGAGGGTGAATAGGGACCAGAGTAAGCAGGGCCCCAGTCAGTCCCTGCTGGGCTCCTAATCCCTCCGAGGAGGAGGCCTGCCCACTTTGCCCCCTGGGTATCTCCTGGATGCATCCACTTATCTCTGTTTCCACATTCACCAAGGCCCAGTACTGTTGCCTCTGCCTAGACATGAAGTGACCTCCTCAAAGTCTCCTGGCTCCCGTCTCAGCACTTCCAAGCCTTTCTTCATGGAACAGTTGGAGTCATCTCTAAAGCAACCTGGGTAAACTACCTGTGCCCTGCTCAATCCTTCTATGGCTCCCCATTACTCTTGGGAGCCTCTCCAGGACCTCCGAAGCCCCACCTGGCTCCCCAAGTCTCAGCTTCTACGTTATTGTGGTCCCCTGCTCCTCTGTAGCCACAGAGGTCCTGTTCTTCTGTCTGGAGTCCCTTGCTTTCCTCTTCTCCTGGAGAATTTCCACTTATCAACTCAACTTACACCTGATTCATTCATGTAGCCAATAAGCATTTGTGGCACACACAGGCAGGGCACTGTTCCGGGCTTAGATCTTAAAAGGGGCATCTTCCAGAAGAAGCCTCTTTGGTTATTCTCAGGCCAGGTGGTTATAGTAGATGCTTTTGGTGCTCTGTTCCATCTCCTAGGCCACCAGGAAGTCACCTGTCACTCAGAAGTATCTTCATACATTGAGATGACATCCTGCCTCAAATAGGACAGCCCTGACTGAAGCCTTTCTCTGGACATGCAAGTCTGTGTGGGGGCAGCCAGAAGAGGCTGGACTGCACCCAGCAATCCATACCAGTGCAGGTAGATGGGGCTGGGGATTTAGCTCCGTGGTTTCGCTGCCTGCTGCGCAAGTGCAAGGACCCAAGTTCGATCCCCAGTACCAAAAAAAAAAAAGCAGGTAGATGTATCAGTTATCTACTGCTGTGTAATAAACAATCCCAAGCCTGGTGGCTGAGCACAAGCATCACTTACCTGCATATTCTGTAATCCAACTGTGCCCAGCTCGGAGGTTCTCTTCTCCTCACCTGAGGCCACTCATGCAGCTGCAGTCATCGAGCCATTGCCTGGGCTGGATGGTCCAGCCCCACCCAGAGTCACTGTGGGTAGAACCACACAGAGGTTCCTAGTGAGCAGTCCACTGTAGGGCATGAACCTGTCAGCTTCCTCAGCCCCTGGTCTCAGAGTCCCCCAAGAGCTGTGTTTGCTGCCCACACCTGGAATTTATTTGCTGACACAGCTCTAATGAACTTCCCTCTCTTCCCTGGCTCACTCTTCTGGCTCCCTCCCTGATATGTGCCCCCAAGACCTTTCTCACAGACTGCTTTGGGGAAATATAAGTGGGGATCATAGCAGCGCCTGGCATGGACAGAGGGGAGAGACGGGGATGAGATGAGAAACATGACAGGTAGGGCACTGAGGAGCCATTGAAGGCTCTAGGCAGAGAAGGGCACAGTCAGCAGACAGTTCTAGTGCCTCTGAGCCCCCAGGATGGAGGCCAGCCTGGGTCAAGGGTGATGACCTGCCCTGCCCAAGAGACACAGGGAGCTAAGCCTGCAGGGTCAAGGTCAGGAAGAACCGTCCCTGAGAGCCCTTCTGAATCCAGCTCTAGGGTTAGACTAACGATTTGCTGGCCTGAAACTGACCCCACCTCCCCCACTTTTCTGAGTTCTATTTGTACTGATTATGCCAACCTCCAGTCCCAGCCTGAGCAAAGCAGGAGAGAAGTGGGGCAGAGCGGTGGAATAAGACGGGCAGGCGACAGATTATAGCCACACACTCCACTCCGGTGAACAGGAGTCTAATTGCTTTTCTGGAAGGGAAAGAGGGGGACAGGCTTAAAATAAAACAAACTCCCAATCAGCTGTGTCAGGGCTGAGTGAAGGGAACCACTCCTACCCCAGCCAGAACGGGGGGGGGGGGGGGACGGGGGACTCTGACCTGGAGGAGGTGCTGGGGTCTGAGGTGTCCTCCTGCGGAAGTGCAACAGGTCCATTGTGTCAAGGCCACTTCCTGCCACCAGGGGTGGGGAACTTGTGCCATGGTTCTCAGCAGATCTCTCCTGACACCACCGGCAACGAGGATAATGACACTAACAGTGATGGGAGCCTGCTGAGCGCCAAGCACTGGACAGAGCGCTCTAGACAAATTAATCATCTAATCCCACAGCAGCCCTATGATACGATTATCAGCTCCATTACATGGAGAAGAAGATAGAAGCATACATTAAATCTACTAAAGGCACAGGCCAAAGTTTTCATTTGTTTACCCAGGCCCCAAGGGTCCATTTATTTAACACACTCCCCATGTATTGAGCCTTTGATCTGTGTCAGTTGATTCATGCAATCAATAATATAAGGCTGGAATTCAAACCCAGCCTGTCTAATGTCAGTAACTGTGCCTTTAACTGCTGAGCTAAATTGTCCTGAATACTACTGCACACATCCAAGTAACAACTCTTGTTTGTTGGACATTTATTCTGAGCCAGGCCCCCAGGTCAATATGTCAGGCTAAGCATGAGACATGATCCTTTCCCCCAAAAAGCCCATGGCTAATAAGGAAGAGAGACACGTACATAAAATATTGTAGGTCAGGTACTGAGTAGGTGAACAAGTTTGAGTGGGAGAACAGACAGTAGTACCTAGTTTGGCCTGCAGAGGTTGAAATGGGGTTGTAGAGGAGGCCAGGTGGGAGCAGAGACCTGAAGGTCAACCAGATTACAAAAGACAGGAAGAAAGGGGAGCGCAGGGCTGAGGCCACAGCCGGCAGCCCCAGTGTAGCCTGCTGTGGGACATGGGGAGTGTCCCAGAGGATGTGGGGACAGTCGTGAGGAGCTGGGCAAGAGCCGAGTCATCCTGGCCTTAGTGCCACCCTACGCCTGACCCTCGTCCCCAGGGCCGTCCTTCCTCCAGCTCACCTAGCTCTGCAGAGCCCAGCAACTCCAACCGGGGCTGGCGAGGATTGCTGCTGACGGTCACTGAGCATGTGCTGCAAGCTGGGTCCCAGACTATGTGCACTCTGTGCCTCGTCTCACAGAATCCTCTGACTCTCATTATTCCCATCTTACAGGTGGGGAGACTGAGGCACGGAGAAGCAGAAGCTTCCTACGATCTCTTAGTAGGTGAAGAAGCCGCCCACCACACTGCCAAACCCTGAGGTTCCAGGACTCCCAGTTGCACCGTGGCACTGTCCACAGCAATACCACCTACCCTATCCTCCAGGAGAGAAGAGGGGACTCAGGAAGATTTCTTTCTCTTCCAGGAAAACCCCAAGCCCTGGGCCCAAAAGTGGGGATAGCCCTATTCCTTACAAGAGTCAACTCAGCCCGGACATTTCCAGTTCCCCGGGGGCTGGGCCAGGAATCACACCCACCTGGAGCCTGAACACAGGATTCCCAAGTGGAAGGGACTCGGGAGGCCACAACCCTTGGACTTGAGTTCATGGGGAAGCGGAGACAGAATCCCCATGTGTAGATCTGACAGAAAAGCAGAGGTGCTCAGGGCTGAGGTGAGGCCCCGGGTGGAGGTTCAAGGCCTGGGTTCCAGCCTTGGCAAGGCAAAAAGAAAAAGACAGAACTTCCCTGCTGGAATGGGGCGTGGGTGGGAGCCCTGCATCTTCCGGAGTAGCCTCCTCACCCTCCCCTGATCACTCCCATCCAGGCCGCACAGGGTTCCAGCAGGGACCAGTGATAAAGAGCATGAAGTCACAGGGAAGGAGTGGAGTTTGACCACTGGGAAGGCTTTGCAGAGGTAGGTGTGTGGGGGGGGGGCACTTCCGGCCAAGGGAGGAGTACTGATGGAGTTCAAACTCTGTGGAGTGTGGTGCGGTTTTTCCCACCCCAAGACCCCTTGAGCACTGTGCTCTGTCCTCCTGGAGGGAGGTCCCCTTGTGGGCTGACTCTATTCCTGGAAGTCCAGCCTGAAATTCAAGGGAGCAAAAGAAGACTAGAAATGTCACCTTGGAAAGGTCACATGTGTGGCCCCAAACTCTGGCGTCCAGCTAGGTGAGCGAGGGATGCCTCTTACTTGTCACATGCAGCCGGCAGCAGAGACCAGGAGATGCCCAGGTTGACCCTACTCTGAAGTCTCCCAAGACAGGGGTGGTGTTGAGCTCCTGTGGCCATGGCCCCCACCCTGCTGTCCAAGGTCTCCCAGGAGCACCGGGAGCAATGGTCTCCAAAGATAGAAATGATCAGCTCAGCACCCCTGATTCCTCCTCATCACCAGGAGATAGGGCAGCAAGAGGTGAAGGCAAAGAGGACATCTCAAACCCAGACAGTCCTGACAGCACTTCCATGGAACTCCAGGGCAAGGCAGCAGAGGCAGGATAAACCCATTGAGCCTGGGCTTGGCATGCAACTGGGTGACCTCAGGAGAGCTGCTGCCCCAGCCTGAGCCCGTCCCTCCCTGTACAAAGTGTGGGACTGTGTGATTCAAAAGTTAATTACTCCCCTAGATTCTGTTGTAAATTTGATGGTTGGAGTGTGTTTGCCTCGGGACAATGGACAATCAGTAATAGGGTGAGGTTACTCAGCCATCTGTTTGCCCTAAATCCAAATGTCCCGGGGCCCAGTATCTATAGGACAATCTGTAAACAGGGTGGTCGTAACTGTCAGTCAGGACGTCTGCTGAACATCAGCATGTGACAATGAGCCACTAACCTTTGTTCTTCTTTTTCTGTGAATCCACATGTTAAACCCCCCCTTAACCCCCTATAAAACAACCTCGGACTCTGAGCCAGTTGCCTCTCTGAGCTATTTTGCTTCGGGAGTGCTGTCTGGCCAGACTAATAAAGGTCTGTTTCCCAACATGGCCGGTGTGTTCCTTCCCGGGTGTGCTCCACTCCAGCTCCTTTGGAGCGTTTGGTAAGGCCTTTGGTCTTACATTCTGGAGGCACCGCTGGGATCCCCGGGTGTGCTCCACTTCAGCTCCTCGGAGCGTTTGGTAAGGCCCTCGGTCTTACAAAAGGGACAGGGATCTGTGATTGTGGGGTTCTCCATGGATGACAGATGTGGCAGCTCCCAAAGGCCAATTCTGCTGAAGCCCAAGGGCAACTTGGAGTTTCAGTGATACTGTTTGGAAAGCGCCTACCCTGTGCTGGGTACTCTGTGTCCAGGCTTCCCAGGTTACAGGAGCCAGAAGGGACTTCGGATCCTGCCGTGGCCAAAGGCAAATCCAGGTCTTGCTGAAGCCACATCTCACCTACTGGCTGCCAGGCCACCGTGCCTCCTGTGCCGCTTCCTGCAGTAGGAAAGCAAGGCTGGGGGAGTTTCAGGGGGGAGCCGGACAATCCCAGAAGCTTTTCTGGAAGGGGCCCGGGCGGGACCTGCCAGGTCCTCGAAGGGAGGGAAGACCCCTCGCCTGAAAGCCCCTCATTTGATCTTTGTCTCAACTGTGTGAATTTAAGACGAACCAAACCCCTTGCTCTGGGGCCATCTAAACACGATTAAACAACCATTAGGCCTCTGCGGTTGGGAAATGGAGATTTACAGACTTCCAAACCTCCATTTAAATGCAAATGTAGTGTTGTGGGCCGGAACTAGGATCTGAGACGCATTAAAGGCACTGAAGGCGCTGTCTTCCTCGCTCCTTGCAGTTCCTCCCCGACCCGACCCGCCCAGGGGCCCACCTGAGCCAGGAGTTAATCCAATAACGAGGGCCTCCCAGGCACCACTGGAGCAGGTCAGGAACCGACAGCTCGAGGCCTGGGGTGGATAGTGAGTCAACATCCTGACTGGGGCCTCCAGCAGATGCTAACCTCTGGTTCAAGGCAGAGCAACCTTGGCAAGGTCACACGTAGAGCTGGACATCCTGCACCAGGACGGATGCTGTGGACGCTGTGTCCTGAGTGGCCCCCAGGGACCTCCTCAGGGAGGGGCCCAGGATATAGTCACGGAGTTAAAAGCAGATAAGAACCTGCCCCTCATGTTAAGCTAACAGGGAGCTCTGCTGGGTACCTACTATGTGCCTGTCAGAGACTGTGCACTACTTCATTCTCCCAGGATCTTGGGGTCCCCTCTTACTATTTTGAGATGCTGAAGGTGGAACCCAGGGCCTTGTGCAGGCTAGGAAGCCATTCTATCCCCACCAGCCAGGAATCTCCACTTTTAAAAAAGGGTGAAGGGCCTGTAGAGTCCACTCTGGAGGAACCAGAGTGAGGATTTGAACTCAAGTCTGCCGACTCCCAAATCCATATTCCTCTCTGGGCTCTGCCCCTGAGTTCCTGAGTGACCTTTTGTGAGTGACCTGACCTCTCTGGGCTTCTGCTTCTGGTTAGAAAATGGATGCAGTGGGCAGGGAAGGGAATCAGGAGAGCTGGAGAGTGGGAGGCAGATGCAGGCAGTTGTCCTTGAAGGCTGAATAAGGAGGCATCCATGGGGGGCAGGGAGCCTGCCTAGGTCAGCAGAGGCCTTGAATGCTGAGAGGCGAAATGGGGACAGCATTTTGCAAGTGACAGCGGCCCTGATGGGTCTGGCAGGATTTGGCCACAGACTGAATGTGGTGAGTGAGGAGGAGGAGAATGTCAGGACCCGTAGCATTCAGGGGGACATTGACTGAGCCCTTGCCAAGGCCCACAGTGCTAGGCTGAGTCAATATCAATCACCCTCTCACTCCCTCCTCACAGCAAGGGTGTGTAGTTGGCTTTTATGATTACTGGGGCCCCAAGGTCACCCAACCCAGGGAGACAGGGCCAGACCACAGACCCCGGAGGAGGGTCACCCGGCACGGCTTCTCTCTGAGGCTGGAGATTCCAGGCCGGCTGCCTGAAAGGTGGGGACCCCTCCAGGTGACCACAGCATCCTGGTTTGCTTGGAACTTTCCCAGTTCTCAGTCTGTCCCTGAGTAAACCAGAATGATGAGTCACCTAGAGATGAGCCGGAAACAGGGCAAGGGAAGGGGGGGATCTGGGAGGGGATAGTCTCCAGGCCTCTGAGTAGGGGCTCTGGGGAGGAGGCGGGGGCAGGCTGAGACCCAGATTTGGGGCTCCTTCCTGCAGACCTGGGGAGCCCCCAGGGCCTGCCCAGCCGCCTGAGCCTTGCAGAAAGAAGGGAGCCTTCCTTCCCGGGACCGAGATGGCACTGGCAAGCACTGAAGTCCCAACCGGTCTGGGCTTCATTGACCCGGAGTCCTCCCAGGACTTTGCTCAAGGCTGAGACGGGACAAGTCATCAGGCAGCAGGACACCCGAGTCCTCTGGAATCTGCCCAGTCACCCCCAGGGAGCAGCCCTGTTCATCAGCTGCTTCTCCTCCTACTCTGTCTCTGGCCGCCAGCTGCCTGAGGTTTGGGCCTCAGACTCTAACCACGAGGATGTGAGAAGCCAGGGTCAGCTCTGCACAAGGGCAGCAGGTTCCCCTGGGAGAGGCCAGAGCAGAGGTTGGTGAGGAAGAGGTCAGTGGACTCCTCCTTAGCTCCTGGTCTGGGTGCACTGCTGGGGGCAGGACTGGGGGGCCAGTGCCCACATGGTCTGAGGCTCGAGAGGGGAAGGGAACAGGTCTGGGACCCGCCAAACTAGGTCCATCTGGGTCTTACTTGCTCTATTTCCTCTCTTTCCACCGCAGTTTCCTCATTCTGCCAAATGGGGACCCCCCACAGGTGTCCTGCCCATGGGATGCAGCAGGTCAAACGGCAAAAGAGGCCCAAAGGACCACATGAAGTGGTGTCACAGTTAGGAAGAAACAGGAGGACAGTGAAGGGCAGGGGACAGAGTGAGAAGGGTAGAAATGAGGCAGCCATAGGAGGGGCAGGCTGGGCAGGGATGGCAAGTGGAGGCAGGTGAGAGCATGCTAAAAAGGGCACTAGATGTGCTCCTCCATCAGTTTCCATATCACCGCCCCATCCCCCACCCCACCTCACCCCCACAATACTCACAAAGGAGGAGATTAGGGGGACCGGGCCCCCAGGCTTTTGTCCTCCTGGTGAATTATGCAGGAGGCTGTGGGAGCAGGGCGCTGGGATCTTCATTATTGATGAGAGATGACATGTCCTCCGCTGACAGCCTGCCTAAGAGATATGATTAGCTTGTAAAAAATTAATCACCGCTCTCAGGGAGGACATGGATTAAACCCCGAGGAGGGGTGTTATCGATGTCTCCTAATTTCAGGGGACTTTGAAAAGGTTTTAGAGCAACTTGGAGGAGACAATTAAATTCAATTAGAATCACGGTGCTGAAATGTCACTCTCTCTTGGGGGACAGGCTGAGGGGGTGGCCTTGGGGACCTTTCCTTGCTCGGAGGGCCAGCAGAGGCTCCTCCCAGGTCCTCTCTTCCAGTATCCTCACCCTCACCTGTGGCTCAGCTTCCACCTCCCTCCAGCCTGGACCACTCTCCGAGCTCCCCCTCCATACTCAGCTGCTGGCCCTGCATGACCCTGAGATGTCTCAAAGGCACCCCCAGACTGCCACATGTGATGCCAAGCACCCAGCCACCACACCCACTCTGCCTGCCTTCACCCTGCTCCCTCCCCTCCCCTGGAATTCATTGATGTATATTCTCTTCCTCTCTCTCTCTCTCTCTCTCTCTCTCTCTCTCATCCTGGGGATTGAACCCAGGGCCTTTGCACTGAGTTAACTTCCTCAGCCCTTTTTTAAAATTTTGAGGCAGGGACTTACTAAGTTGCTGGGACTTGAACTTGGGACTTGAACCCAGCTGGGACTTGAACTTGCGATTATGCTCAGCCTCCCAGCGTGCTGGAATTACAGGTGTGCTCCTTCTTAGTGAAGTCTCCACCAACAACCATACCCAGACCCAAGACTTGCTGACTGAACTCCAAAACTCTTTTGGAATCCATCCATTCTCTCCATCTCCCTGGCTAAAACGCCTTAGTCATGTCAGCCTCCCCACCACCTGGACCTCAGCAGTGGCCTCCTCCCAGGTGTCAGAATGCCCACCTCTCTCCTCCCATCCTCCCATCCTTTCCTGATTCCATCCATGGTTCCCTGGGGATCTGGCCTCCAAGGGAATCTAATGTGTCTTGACTTCCGGCCTAAGGACTCGTCTGGTATTGAGAGGTGGGTGGTCCTGTGCATGAGCCCCTCCCAGAAGTGAACACCCCCAGAGGCACCCCACCAACAGTGAAGGTTGGACTAATGGGCAATCCCGGAAGCCTGGGGCTGGCTTCTCAGGAGGCTGCAGCACGGTGCCACCCTCTGCCTAAAGCAGCCTCGCAGGACCCTGGCTCACCCTCCCCAAAGAGCTGCCTGTGCCTGAGGCCTTATCTCAGCTTTGTAGTCATCCTCTCTGGGTGTTACTGATCTTCACAAACACACATCTGATGGTCACGTCCTCTCACTTGAACCTTTCTAGGATCTCTTGTTGATCATATGATGAAAGCAAACCCTTGAATGTGAGGATGGGGTCCAGTTTATGCTCCCCCCAAATACAGCCCTTGGCACTGGCGAGGATAGCAGAAGTAGCACAGTCATTGTTACCTTCCCCCTGGTCTTCTCCACTAAAGGAGGTCACAAGACTAGGACAGCTTCTCGGATCTTCCTCTGCAGCAGGTCATGGACCCTCATCAGAGAGCTGCTCACCTTGTCCCCATAGGAGAGGCATATCCTTTCCCTGAGGACCCAAGACAGGGGAGAATCAGAACAGGCCTCGCTGACTCCTGCCCCTAGGTTATTACCTTTGGTCATACTTTTATCCAATAATACCTCATAATTGTCTACTTCTTCATCAAACCTGCATTAAAAACACACAGATTGTGCGTGGGGGTGTTAGCTCAGTGTTTCTGGGACCTGTCTTGCAAGCACAAGGTCCCGAGTTCGATCCTCAGTACCAAAAACCAAAACAAAAACAAAAATGCACAGGTTGGGCTGGGGTTGTGGCTCAAGGGTAGAGCACTTGCTTTGTAAGTGTGAGGGCCTGGGTTGAAGCCCCAGCACTGCAAAGAAATAAAAAATCTTTAAAAAATACACGGCCTCACTGTTTCTTTGGGGCTTTGTTTATGAAGTCTCCTACGTGCTCTAAAACTCATCTTGGAGCATTGCTTGCATGCTTTTCTCTCGCTAATCTGCCTTTTGTTACAGCAGCCTAGCAATGGATGAAGAAAGATATTTTTCACCCTGTGGTGGCCCCCAAGAACCCAAATCATCCGACTCCTCCATCCTCATCTCCACATGCACCCCTCTGTGGGGGACAAAAAATAATTTTCTGTCTACCCTGTGATTCCTAACTAGGACTCCCCATAACAAAAGATAGATTAATGAGAGACAAATGGAAGTTCATTAACATGTCCCTCCTGCAAGCATGGAAGAAACCCAGAGAGAGGAGTAACTCGCTAGAGCAGATCTCAGGGAAAGTTTAAATTTCAAACCTAACCATCATCATTTTCTGAAACAGAGAGAGCAGAAATGGCAAAAGCCTTGGAGCTGGCAGAACAAGGCATCTGGGATGAAGGTCAAGGTTGTCCTACATACTGAGGTCATTGTCTGCTTCACTTTCCCTTCCTGGTACAGAGGGGACCCTCACAGATGGAACTTCCTGCACGGGTGTAAATTTCTCTTACAAAAGAGTGAGTTTTCAGCCCTACCCCATGTGTCTGCAGCTTCTCAGAACAACCAGCTCAAAATAACCATTATGCCAGAGAGGTGTATTGGAGAGTGGCATAGAGTGGTCTACGGTCATATTTTGGGGTGCTGCATCCCTCATGAGACCCATCGCCACCTTCTGGAGCCTCACATTCACCATGCATCTCCCTGCTACCCAGCCTTTGGCTGTGCAGAACTCACTGCCTACAGCCCTTTCCATAGCTCACGTCCTCCGGCTGGCCTTGCACAGCTGCCGGGTCTGTCTAAGATTTTCCCTGAGCTTCATCATGAGTTTTGACCCCTTCTCTTATAAATTCCTATCACACCGGATCCTATCCTTTCATTGCTAATAATCAGAGTTGCGATTTCACAGTTTCATGTTTCTTTATGGGATTGTTTGATTAGCACCTGCCTCCCCCCGTTAGGAGTGAGCCTCCTGAGGACAGAATAAAGGGAGGGAGGAGGAAGCGCACCTTGAGCTCAGAACTGTGGCTACTCCTTTCTTTGTAGGTTGTCCTTTGCAAGGTTATAGCCCCTCCTTTTGACTGCACTCTAAACTCTAAGTGCAGGAGCTGCACTTAAATGATTAAGACGTTTTCTTTAAGTTTACAGAGCCCAGAACATCTGGTGACCTTCAGATCGTATCAGAATACATAACATCGATTCTTATTCATTAGTTCTAAACATCAGCTGAAATAAAACATGTAAAGTCCTCTGAGGTTTAACTTACAGAAAGGTAATATAGCTATCTAAAGAACTACAGAAGCTGGCCTCAGGAGGTTGAGGTCCACTGTAATTCTGGCCAGAAAAAAAGAAAAACAAAAATAAAGAGGAGGAGTCTATACACCCTAGACCTTGCTCAGCATGTAGACTTCCAGTCTGTTTCACCCGGCACCTCCCTCTAAAACCCCTTCCATGTACCCAAGTTCCTGAGGACGACAACCTCCCAACTTCTCACAGCCAGCCCTTGAGTAAACCTGACTGCCTTTTGTCTCTCAAGTACTGGCTTTTCAGTGGCAAGCAGCTAGATCTGGGTGTGGCAATAAACTGTGCAAATCTCTTTATTCCACACTCGTTAGTGTTTTAACTACTTACTGAGAGCTTCTAGGTCTTCCCCCTACAAGCTCCAGATTCTCTCCAATGTTATTGCCCTTTATTCTCTCTACATGCCCAGGGGTCCAGCCAATCCAAACTGCTTGCACTTCACCAATTGACCCTCTCAGCTGAGTGCCCCCTAGAATGTAAACACCGTGCCACATGTGCCAAGGCTTCCATGACAATTTGTTGACCACATAAAAGACCCTCCACATGGCTCCTGCATGCTGTCCTCCCTGCTCCTGAAAATCACCACCTTTGTGTCAGGCGCTCTGTAGGGCTGTATTGAGCCCTTTCCTTAGAAGTTTTATTTTATAGATGAGGGAAATTGGGCCCCAGAAACATAAAGCCGCTCACCAAGCTCACAAAGCTGGAGAGTGGTACTGTGTGTGTATCAAGCCAGGCCTTCCCCACAGCACCTGTCATCCACGTTCCCGCCTCTTCTCACACATGGTTTCCAGTTCTCCCCATTGCTTAAGTCCAGCTCAAAAATCACCTCTTCCCTAGGGCCTCCCCTAATCAGCTCTTCTTTGGCCAGAACAAGGCTCTCCTCTGAAAGGCCGCCAGAGCCTTGGATCTGGCGTTTGGGTTTTGTTTTATGTGATCTATTGCACACAACTCTCAGCTCCCTGGAGAGGGTGGGAGGAGAGCGTTCTCATCTTTGTGAACTTCACATGCACCCAGGAGGTGCTGTACAATGGGTCCACATAATGTCTCCCCTGGGGGACAGTGTGACAGTGGCCACCCCTTCATAAGTGTCCTTTGACTGCCCCTTTCTTTGCCCAGCATTCTAAGTTCTAAAAAAAGCCACACTTGAATAATTAAGGTGTTAACTGCTAAGTAATCTTCTTAGATTTACAGAACCCAGAATATATGGTGACCCTCAGATAATATGAGAATGTGTAACGTCCCTTCCTTATTCTAGACCTGTGAGAAGTCATATGTTTGTCTAAAGAACTACAGTAACTAGACATGGGAGGTCAAGTCGAGCGCAATGTTCCAACCAGAAAGAAAGAGAGGAAAGAAAAAAGAACAAAAGGAAACACACCTTGAGTGATAAAGACCCCACTCAGCAGGTGGCCCTCTTGCTGCTCTACCTCCTTTCCCTCCCCATAAAAGTCCTTTGTGTGCCTGAGTGTCCTGAGATGGAGCTTTGAGGACAATGTCCCCTTCTACCTTCTCAGACCTGGCCCTTGAATAAACTTAATTTCCTGCTCTCCAATTCTTGTCTCCCAAGCATTGGCTTTCAAGTGGTGAGCAGATGGACCAGGATGCAGTAACAAAAAGGAGGCTTGAAAAACAACACTAGCTGGCATTTCACAGCAGCTGCTGGTTGCCAGGTCCTTTTCTGAAAGCTCTGCCTGCAGGAGCTAGCCAAACATATGAGCTCTCCACAAGATGGGGTATATCACTCCCATGTTACAGATAAGCACACTGAAGCACAGAAAAAGTAAATAATTTAGCCCAAGTCACGAAATTTGCAAGTCATGGAGCTGGGCCTCAAACCCAGGATTATGGCTCCAAAGTCTTGCTTTAAATCAAAGTGCTCTGAGGTTTGGGTGACCAACTGTCCAGGTTTGCCTGGGATGTGGGGCGTTCTGTTTGAAAATCGGGACAGGCTCAGGCACACCAGGACAAGTCAGTCACCTTAGGTAGTGTCTGCAGGTCACTGGAGATATGCAGTGCTGGATGGGGTGCTGCTGGGCATGGCGTGGGGCTTCCTATGGCTGTGCCCTGATTGCCTGCTGGCCTCTGTGGTCACTGTAGAGTTGCTCTCCTTCCTCCTTTGGTCTGCTTCAGGGTCTTGGGAGAGGACATTATATCTCGAGACTCTGCCTACCAGGTTAATGACTCTTTGGGATGCTGTGCCGCCGTCCTGAGGGACAGCAGGAGGGTCACCCTGGGGACTCAGGCCCAGACCAGCCATCAGACCCTTCCATGGGGATGGGGTTAATCAGGACCAAGGAAGCAGAAAAAGAAACTGGGCAAGGAGGTGACGATTGTCAGCCTTCTGAGCATCTCTGCTATGGACCTCCTCCTCGCCTTGACTGTTCTGGGGTTCCCTGCTCCATACCCAAGGGGCTTGACTGCTTGCTAAACAAGTCTCCAATTGTGGTCTGGTGGAGGGGAGGCTCACAGCAGGCCAGGGATCTGGGCAGCCCAGGATCAGCCCTATTTTTCCACCAGGAAGAGGGAAGCTCAGAAAGGTACAGTGTCTTGCCTGAGGTCACACAGCTTAAGATCACACAGTAGCAGACCTGTGGTTCATGGTAGGGCCATCTGCCTCCTCCCTCTTCGATATTTCACTCCACTGCAGGGGTGGTCAGGCAGCGGAGGTTTTGGTCTGGCTTCAGAGCCAGGCTCGTGTGGGGATAGGACTCCTGTACAGAAATTAGCTAGATGGAGATTTAGGATGATCAAACACAGTTTGAGGTCAGCCCTGGCGGGGCAGAGGCACAATGTGGCCTGGAGGGATGGGGACCTATCCCAATAGCAAGTCATGGTGGATACTCAATGTCCCAGATCAGCTGAACCTCAGTTGGCAGGAGAAGGTGCCCCTCTGGGCTCTGAGCTTCCGGCCCTTTCCTAACTTCGTCATATTTGGGATCTAGATCCTAGATCCTGGCTTCCTCTTCTTCCATTCCCAACCCACCAGAAAGTGCCCTTCTAGAGCCACCCATGGGCTAACAGCCCACATGACCTCTATGAGAACAGTGGCCAGCACTAAGGGCCCTGGGACCTCTACCTGGATCCAGGCACTGGGCTGTGAACATCTGTTTCTTTCCCGTCATTCCCACAGTGGGCCCTCAGTAGATGCTGTTATGCCCGCACCCTGGGACTGAGGCTGGGGCTGGATGGTCTGCTCACTCCTCCCTGCCCAGCCTTTTCACTCACCTGAGCCTCACCCTCAGGACAGGAGGAAGCCCATTCTCAGTG